ACCTCCAGCAACCGTGCTAATTAATTTTTCAGTGTCGTTACCCGTGATTAAACCAAGATGTGTTAAACTACAGTACGTCAAGAAAGGTTCTAACTGCATCACCAGAGGAACACAAGAGGCCACTTTGTCTCTGATGCTAACTGAAAGAATAGCCTGCAAAATCAGATCAAGTGTCAGGTATTGAAGATAGTAGATATGTCCATTAAAGAACAAGTCAGCAAAATTCAAGAATATAGAAACAAAGCTGGAATAAAGTACAAACCGTTATCTGCATCACATAGAGACCAAGCAAACAACATACTTTTGCGTTTTCTTCATTCTTCTGTAAAACAGAAAAAGAAATCAAAACAGGTAAACAAGTGGAATATTCAAATTAGAGAATGAGCACTTTGGGTAGTGCTTCCCAATTGCAAATTTATCACACTTACAGACCAGTTTCGAAGAAACATCTTGAATTGAAACGGCAATGCCTAGAGCCTTTTCAAATAAATCTTCAACTTGCACGTCTGTTTCCAGTGACATGTCCTTCAATACGTTGAGGACAATTGGAACTGCAACTCTTAGTTGCTCATAGTGACGCCTCTGAACTGATATAAATACTGAAACCAGGAAAGTTGAATTAACTTTTCACTAGTTCGGAAAGACTAGTTAGGAATTCAAAAACAAAATTTAAGGAAATTCATAGTTTTGTACAACACAGACTATGAGACCTCCAATGTGTAGTAATTTATGTAAGCAAGAACATTACTAGAATTGCAGGTGCCAAGCTAAAAATTCACTTTCATGACAGAAGTCTATAATACCTTTAGAGAGCCCATGTAATAAAGGAGTAGAACAACTGGATGGTGAAAGAGAGCACCGTGCAGCATCGAGTGCCTGGTCATTCAGATTCATAAGGCGATCAAATCGACAAAATACTCAACCGTTACAACAACTTGTTATCTTAAAAGGCCAAAAAACCAAGTATGAAAAGGTAACTTAAGACTAGTATATTTATTGCCTTAACTAGCCTGATCTGAATCCAATTCAACATCTTATACCTCACAAAGAATCGAAAGCATGTCTCGCGGATTGCACTCTTCCACAAATCGATCAACGATTTCGTCAACTAACTGTGAACATCTGCTTGATAGGTTCGCAAACTTGGAAATTACTTTCGGCAACTCAAATGACAGTGCATCTATAACAGCCTGTAACAGCGAATCCGGGAAAATCCATGAGCAAAAATTCAAAACCTTTAAATAACGTTTTCCGCTGTGAAAGCGATTTAAGAACTGAAAAAAGCACCTGATCCATTTGAGGAGATGATACAAATTTCAAAATTTCAGCTAGAGCTTGAATAACATCATTCTCCAGTTCATTGCTGGAATTCAAAGCTTCATTCTCCTCTTCGGACAAAGAATTCAGACAGTTGACAAGTTCTTTCACCAAACTCTCCAAGTCTTGAAGTCCTCCAACTTCAACTGACTGAAAACACACACAAAACCAACCGATAATACTTCAAAAATAAAAACACAATAAACTATAGCCAATACATAAACCACGATGCGCCTGATTAGCGGCGATTTTTTCAATCAAACTCCAAGAAAATCACGAAGCAGATCAAAGCTTTTGAAATTTCCCCTTTGAGAAACAAAATACACAAAACCCGAAGCGAGGAGAACAAAAAGTTGAGAGAAGCTTACACTGAAACACAAGGCTAAAAGTTCTCCTACACGATGTGAAAGAGAAGAAGCAGTAGCATCGGAAATCTCCTCGGACTCCGAGCTCCGTACCGCCGGCGACGCCATAACTGGATCTCGGAGCTTTCGCGGCGATCAGAATTTCGAAACTTTTCAATTTCGTAACAGCGATTTTTACCAGGATGTTTGGTTACACGAATAACCTGATCCCACATAAATCGCCTACAGTAGATTAATTTTACGAATAGAATAATATACATCCTGTATCCAAACATACCATTCTCGTTCCCACTTCACGGTCTAATTCAAAAAAAGGAAAGAAAAAAGAACGAGATGTCTTCTCTTAAAATGGGTTTAGTTATATGTCTTAATCGAAAATGTCTCAGTTTCTGTCCCGTCAACTATCCAAGCTCTCTCCTCGGAACAATGCTCCGGTAAGAGATCAGTTTTCTCTGTTTCCTTCTCTCTCTCTCACATTTTGGTTTCTATCTACTTTTTTGTTTGTAATTTAGATCTCTGTTTTCAATACAGAGGATGATGAGTTCTCGTTTGTTTTCCACCGTATTTCGTCTTGGGTAATTAAGGAGCCCAATAAAGAAGATCACATTAATTTTTGGTGTGTTCTTGATGAGTATAATGATTTGGAAAAGAAGGCGCCTTTTGAGTTGCTAGAGGGAAAGGGACTTATCGGAGCATCACAAGGTTGGGTCGCTACTCGAAAGAAAGGTAGTGTTAGGGTGTGTCTCCAAGATGATTTGAGTCAAACCCGAAACGCATTTCACTGCCTCCTCTTGTAACTCTTACCTAATTGCCAAACAAAGATCATGGCCATGTCCTCTTCTTCTCCCGACGAAGACGAAGACTGTATTGTGGCTATCAAGTTACAAGACCGAACACTTGGTCGAGTCATCAACCGGCGAGACTTTCCTCGTTATGTGGTACAGGTATATATGGTTAGACCTTTTTTTCCTCAAATAGTTTAGTTCATTTGTAAATACTATACTATTAATCCTCATATTGTTATTTATTATATAGGTCCTTCCACGATGGCACCCACGCATATACAGATCCGGAACCAAGGGAACTGGAAACCAAAGGTTTTAGGGTGTTCAAGCTAGATGAGAGAGGAAACGCTTCTTATACTAAGGACATTGGAGATCTTTGCATTTTCATATATATCAAAGGCTGAGGCTTTCTGTGTCCCTGCTAGCTCCTACTGTGCCCCTGACAAAAACTTCATCACTTATATCGATGTCCACGAGTGTATCCCGGACTTGGAGTTGGGATCTGTTGATCTTGACAAAGCTGATACTCACGATATGCTTGATCTCATCACCAAGATCCCTTACTTCTTCCCACCTCAACTTATGCAATGAATTTACTAGTACTCGTGGACTTTTGTGTCCTTTTTTCTGATATACAACCACTTCTAGAAGAGATATGGTTTTGTCTTTTGGTCCGAAATTTCATATGAAATGCTTTTTTTTTTTTGTCTGACAATTATCAAACTAGTGTGCAAGGGTATCAAACTAGAGTGTAAGGGTATCAATTTGCTAGATATTACAAAGATAACATGCTTAAACTTTAGATTAAAATGGTGGGGGCTTTTCCATTTTGTAATTAATCTAGACTATGATGATACAATAATATTGAAATCATGCAGATTAACTAGTTAGGACGGATGTTTAATGGATAATTAAGAACTCTTTTTGGCGGTTTAGACAAATTACGATTGTCATTGGCAAATCAATCATGAAGCTAGGAATCAAGGGTAGTTAAATCGACACATGCAAATGTACTACTCCAACTACGATGGATCAGAGCCGCTTGGTTCGGGAAATACTATAAAAACATTCTAAATAGTGATAGAGTCAACGACCCACCAATCCTATCAGGCTCAACACAAGCTCTCCAAATTAGTTTTCTAGAACAAGTGTTGTTGAGTCGTCAAAACTTTTGTCTCTTTGGCTCTGGTTCCTCAGGTAGAGGAAGAGACGTTCCAGGTATAGACTTTCCAGGTACACGCAGTGCAAGCTGATCATAAGGCCGAGGATGACCAGGCTGCATTTGTGTTAGTCGGTTTATCATCACTGAAAGGCGTTCAGGTGGTGGCAAGTAAGTACGATCCCCCACATCCATGTCAGCAAAACAGTCAACACCACGCACAAAAGCCTGCAAATCAATCATAGCCATTTCCACTCCCTGCTCCAGCTCCTTCAATTGAAGACGTTGCAAAAAGACCTCAATAAAGGTCTCCGCTGTAGAGGCATCACTCAGCTGATCAGAAGTTTTTAATACTCTGCGATACGCGTTCACAAGCTCATGGAACAAATTATATGACCTGCTATAAGCTGGCTTCATAAACTCAAACTGAGGGTTCTTATCCTCTCTCTTCATCAAAGCCTCTGAAAAAAGGTACCCATACCGTGCCACAAACTGCGCAGTGAGCTTGATAACACCAAGCTCCCTGAATGAGGCCTCCATAGGAGGCGGCTCAAGGCCGAGTCGTGCATCACCGACACACTCATGAGTAGCTGGACCATCAGGCTGCGCTCCATCTTGGTTCTGAGCAAGGTATTCAGTAAGCTGAGATCCAGGCTGAGTTTTTGTTACTCGGTTCATTATCACTGAAAAGGGTTCAGGTGGTGGCAAGTTCGTAGAATACTCTAAATTCTCCATGTAGGCAAAACAGTCCACACCACCCACAAAAGCATGCAAATCACCAATAGCCATCTCCACTCCCTCATCCAGCATCTCCAATTGAAGATGGTGGAAAAAATCATCAAGAACCGTCCCCGTAGAAGCATCACTATACCTCAGCCTTCTGGACCGCCTTAATACAGTGGCATACGAAGCAGCAAGCCCATTATAAAAATCAAATTTCCTATAAAGTGGCTTCATAAACTCAAACTGAGGGTTCTTATCCACTGTCTTCATCAAATCCCGACAAAAATAAGGCCCGTACCTTGCCACAAACTGCGCTGTGAGCTTAATAATACCAAGCTCCTTGAGTGAGAACTCCCTTACATGGAGTCCAAGTACAAAACTGGTACGTCTTAGAGGCGGATCCCATTTAGGACTAGGAACAGGTCGCACATCACACTCGTGAATATCCTGAACATCCTGATTCTCAGCACCGTATTCAGTAAGCTTAGATCCCAGTGGTGTACTACGCTGGATTGAAGGGCGATCTTGACTTAGTAAGCTACCAGAATAATTTTCATCCTCCATGTCAGCGAAACAGTAAATAACACCACTGACAAGAGCATGCAAGTCATTCAAAGCCGCTTCATCTCTCGCCTCCAGCTTCTCCAATTGAAGACGTTGGAAAAGAACCTCAATATAGGCCGCCGCGGTAGAAGCCTCCCCCTTACCTAGCCTCTCCAAATCCTCGAATACTTTGGAGTACACATCAACACGCCTACTATAATAATGATACATGCCATCAGCTGGCTTCATAAACTCAAACTGAGGCTTCTTTTCCACTGCCTTCTTCAACTCACGACAAAAATAAGGCCCATACCGTGCGACAAACTGTGCTGTGAGGTTAATAATACCATGTTCCATTGACAAACTGTCAGGTGAATAGCTGCTGAACGGAGTATCAGATACCAGTGGAGGCCGCATATGTTTTAGTCGATCCACAGTCATTGAAAGGCGTTCAGGTGGTGGCATGACACAAAAATAGTCTAAATTCTCCATGTGGACAAAAGAGTCGACACCACCCACAAAAGCATGCAACATAACCGTAGACATCTCCACTTTGTGGAAGAAAACCTTAAGAAGGGTGGCAATAGGAACCTTTTCGGAACGGATAAATACTCTGGCGTACGCACCAACAAGCCCGCGGTAAAACTTTAAAATGCTACCAGGTGACTTCAGAAAGTCAAACTGAGGGTTGTCATCGACTCTCTTCCACAAAGCCAGCAAAAAATACGGGCCCCACCGTGCCAGAAACAGCGCTGTGAGCTTAATGACACCTAAATCGTGGGGCGTCATCCCTGCGGGAAATTTAAATCCAGGATCTCTGTAAGGTGTCCTATGCGAATACCTTGAAGGAGGAGCGAGAGGTGCATCATGTACACACTCAGGAGTGGGAGGTGCATCCAGTACACTCTCATGAGCATCAGGTTGAGCAAGGTATTCAGTAACCTTTCGCCGGTAATATGCGTGACAAGGGTCTGAGCTCCACAAAAAGCTGAATTTTGGATCAATCTCATGATTGGCCTTGATCCTACCCTCAAGCGTTGGCCACTGCTTGGAAACTACAAATGCAATTCCGTCGACAAAATCTCTGTTTTCTGGAGCCGGCTCCACGATTCCTGCAACAATCTGCGTCGAACTGGACATGTTTTCTCTACCAACAAAAAAAAATAAGAAAAAATAATTAAAATCAGATTCTCGAATTTCAGGGGATTTCATTACAATTTGCTTTCCCTGAGAATCTTTCAACTTTGATTATGTTTATGTGATCAACAGGAGACTGGATTGGTTTATCCTAAGAGACAATCTACTGAAATAGCGGAAACATCGGTGACTACTTAGGTTTTTGAGAGAGATAAGAAACGTCGTACTTCACCAGGGAAACACAGCACCACCGCGAGAACTGCCGTGACGTCGAGAAGAAGAAGCGGCGAACGAACGACTTGGAGATCTATTGGGCCTTGTACCAATTAGTGGGCTTATAATCTGACCGACTTAAGCTGATGGTTACGAGCCATCCAGCCGTCAAATCAATGAAACCTTAGCCGTCGGATCTTTATCACCGGTTCGTATCTTTATTTATTTATTTATTTTTAAACCGGTTCGTACCTCTTTTCTCTTGTTTTTGTTATAAGTCCACGAAGGGGTGGGCAAAACCGAACCAAACCTGATTTGCTAAAATATCTAAAATCCGAA